CAAACTGCAAACAGGACTTCTTATTGCTTTCTTTCAACAATGGCTTTCTTCTTGCCACTCTTCCATAAAAGCCAGATTTGTGGAGTACATGACTAATAGTTGAACTGTGGACAGATTGTCCCACCTGAACTGTTAGCTGTGGATGTCTGCAGCGAGTTATCATGGGCCTCTTGGCTGCTTCTCTGATTAATGCTTGTCCACGTTTGCTCTGTCCCTTACATGGATTGTGGCAAACGGGACTTCTTATTGCTTTCTTTCAACAATGGCTTTCTTCTTGCCACTCTTCCATAAAAGCCATATTTGTGGAGTACATGACTAATAGTTGTCCTGTTGACAGATTGTCCCACCTTAGCTGTGGATGTCTGCAGCGAGTTATCATGGGCCTCTTGGCTGCTTCTCTGATTAAAGCTCTCCTTGTCCAGCCTGTCAGTTTAGGTAGATGGCCATGTCTTGGTAGGTTTGCAGTTGTGCCATACGCTTTCAATTTTTGGATGATGGATTGAACAGTGCTCCATGAGACGTTCAAAGCTTGGGATATGTTTTTATAACCTAATCCTGCTTTAAACTTCTCCACAACCAGTGGTGATCTCTCTGGTGTGTTCCTTAGTCTTCATGATGCTGTTTGTTCACTAATGTTCTCTAACAAACCTCTGAGGCCATCACAGAACAGCTGTATTTATACTGAGATTGAATTACATACCAGTGGACTCTATTTACTAATTAGGTGACTTCTGAAGGCAGTTGGTTGCACTGGATTTTATTTAGGGATATGAGAGTAAAGGGAGCCACACTTTTCAGATTTTTAGTTGTAAAAATCTTGAACACCACGTATCATTTTCCTTCCACTTTACAATTATGCAATACTTTGTGTTGGTCTATCACATAAAATCCCAATAAAATATATTTATGTTTGTGGTTGTAATGTGACAAAATGTGGAAAAATTCAAGGGGTATGAATACTTTTGCAAGGCACTGAATATATATACTGTATGTATATATACACACACCATCTGGATTCAGCAATCTAAACATACAATGTCCATTTACAAGTATTGCAATGCATTGTCCAGACATACTGCTGTGGGTCAAGTGTTCATCAGAGTGATGACCCGGGGCAAGAAACTGTACTTGTGCCTGGTTGTTTTGGAGTAATCTCTCCATCTTACATCTGACTCACCTGAGAAGACATATTCTGTCCATACCACTCCACCATCCTTTCCCCTGGAAGCAGGTGCTCTTCCTTGCAGTGCATAATGATGCCTGGCCAGGGAGAAAAGCCCTCCAGCTTACCCCAGACTAGCTCCCCCTTCACATCGAATACAACACACACACAATTAAATACAGACAGTAACTCTGACAACTTCTAACACTGTGTATAAATGTAAATTGTAAAATCTCCCATGAGTGATGCAGTTCCTTTTGTTTTACCATCAACCCCACTAAGTCCAGAGACTATATGTTTAATTCTGTAGGAACACAGTGTCTGAATGCCTCTAACTACTACAAGAGATAACAAGGCTGCATATTTATGGCAAAAATCATAATCATGGTTATTTTGGTCAATATTAAGATCATGATTATTTAACATGATTACTCACTGACTTTGGGAACATCACAGATTTACTGAACATAAAAATATTTTACTGGGGGTTTTCTTGAACGTTAAATATGATTCAATTAAAAAACAAATCAAGTATTTAATCTACCTAATTGTGACTGACAATTCAGAGAAAAGTACTTATTACTCTACATTTCTCACATCTCTAGTTTAACAGTAAGGCTAGAGTCATCTTTCATTTTAGCTTGTTCATAACAATTAGCTATTAGCCTAACAATCTTACTATGGTTATCAAACTGGCAGTGGCTGACAGAATACGGGAAAAGCTGAAATTACCACCTCTCTGCAAGTTTATGCTTCTTTTACGGGTGTTTTGATAGTTTACTCTTGACTTTTTACTTGTGGAGGTTTTATTGCACGTACAGTAACAAGCTTAGTTGTTGTCACCCTGAGTAATGTTTCACTTCACCGTATGTGAGCAAAACATGCTTGCACTGTAGAGCACTGATGGGCTGCACTGGATTTTTAACAAGAAAAAAACAAGAGCATCACTGCAAAACAGAGTGCAGCACAATAATCATTTTACCTGTATTATTGTGTTATTCTAATCATTGGAAGCCAACTGAAAATAAAATTCAGTTAGTTGCACAATAATCATTTTACCTGTCTTATTGTGTTCTTCTAATCATTGGAGGCCAACTGAAAATAAAATTCAATTAGTTGCCCAATCTTAAGAGATAATGAGATATTTTTCTCATGTGTTGGTAGAGACCCAAATAGAGGTAAAATTGACTTCCCTCAGTTGTTTGCTGGTTCATCTGCTCACCACACCCTGCTTGCTCCCATTGTTCCTGCCCTTTGTTTTATTTGCCTCTCGTGAGGCTTTGGACTCTTTGCCTCATTGTACTACTTGTCTCTTTGTTCCATAGCCGTTATATTAAAATCAACTAAATACTGAACCTCAGTTTGAGTCTGCATTTGGGTCCTTCTCTAGCCTGAACCTTGACAGACAATAAAGATCTATCTAGAGCTATCTCATTTGTGCCATATTGTTATGTTGTTGTCTTTGTACTTGTGCAAGTACACTGAACTAACTTCATGAGTAATTGTGAGAAAGAGGACTGTGGACCTACTCATACTGCATACAGCTGACCAAAATTTCTGACATGTCAGAAATCCATGAATGAGATATTAGAGAATATTATAGCCAACAGTAAACAATGTTACACTGTCAGGTATTATAACTGAGGATGATACTGGACAGAGAAAATACCCTGAGGGAGCCAGAGGACAGGCAATTTTCATAACAACTACTAATACAGTGCCTTGCGAAAGTAT